CACCATCTGCTTAAATCGGTATGTGTCCTAGATCACGGTCAACGTCAGTTAACTATTGGACTCAAAAATGTCATAATCAACATAAGCCCTCTGCCAAGACACTTATCATGCTTCTTTAACAGATGTCACATTCTTAGTATCAAATGTAGCAACTGGTTAAGTTATTTTGCCTTGTGTGGAACTTATTTTGTGTCTGATCTCAAACAAGTTGCAAACTGTTTTTTAATATCCAATAAGGGAGTTACAGGCATTTGAACTCTTTCTTTGTATTGCAGGAAGTCATGTAACTCTAGACCACAAACATTGGGTAATTTCCAAAAACAAAGCTCTATGTTTGGCTCTGACATGGCACAAAAACATGTGATGTAAACTCAATAAAGAGTCATCCATCCATTGTCAACTGCTTATCCTGCATACAGGTTCACAGGGAATTAATAAAGAGCTCTGAATTTAATTCATCAGATTAAATAGTGCACAAACACAATTACACACTTCATGTATAGATTCTGGTTCTTTAGGTATTATTGACACACGTAAGTTTTATGAGCACAGTGAAAGTTTTGTTAAATTACTATTACAAAATATTAATTAAGCATTATGAATGATTCTTCCCCAGACTTAGTTCAACCTCTGAATGTATATTAAAGATGAATAGTATTATTTAATTAACTTGTTGAAAACTATTTTATTAATGTGATTTAGGGTGAACTTTCTTTCATGTCAGAGATCTCAAATGTGCAAGTGTCTTGCAATTGAATACCAATGGACTTTGGGAGACTTTCCAAAACAAACCCACACAGCTGCCAATAAATTTTTGAAAAGGATAGACAACATACACAACACGTTTCAACTATTTTTGTCCTTTAAATCAAGAACTATAATTACTAGAATTGTACACAAACCATATTGTTCACTTTTAAATTAATGATACAATTTGGCCATTACTTTCATGCACTTTCATTTGGAGGCATGAAAGTGATTAGACTAACAGTTAGAGCAGAGAGTTTGTAACTAACTAAGATGATCTAGGGCAGAAATGCATATGCACCTCCTCTATAAAAGAGGCAGCTCTGAACTTCAGCATGAACTGATAGCCTCCCAACCCAGGTGAGTGTTTTCACTCAGACATCAGTTTGTACTCTTATTAGTTAGTTAAGTTAATGTATTGCTAATTAGGTATGCTTAGATACGTTAGTGATAGTCTTCACTGGATAACATTATTCCAAAAGACATTTTGTGGACGTAGCTTCTTCCAGAGGTAATTGGTTTGTGTCGACATCTAATACACACCTTGTCTTATAAAGATACTAAATCAGGGGGACGGGAGGATATTGAATATCTAAATACAGTTAGCATACAGTATATTATTAATTCGAAATACGTGTTCCTACCATTACCCTCTACTGTTTTCAAATTATATGAACAGATTTGAAATCGGAAAAAAAACTGTGCTTATGTTTAATCATCTTTTTATAACATCTTGGGACTCCACCAGAAACTTCCCACTCATTCTTTTCTGGACCAAGCTGAGGTTAAAAGATGTCACATTAAAAACCATTAAATCACCACCACCTGATCCAAGACTATGTCTATATCATGTTGATATGTTAAAATTATTGTGGACGCTTCATCTTTTCAGGCTCCATTGAAATGCCACCATGAGCACAGACAGAAATGGAGCAGTATGGCCCAGTGGCCATATACCTCCGAAAACCAGAGGGGGAGAGGATTGAGGCACAAGCCAGTCCTTTTGATGCCAAAACGGCCGTCTTTGTGTCACTCACGTTACTGTGCGGCAAAGAGCAGTATGCATGCTTTCTATTTTAGCTCTAAGTGTCTAACCCTAACCATCATGGCCACGCTCCCAGGCCTGTCCTGTATCCCCACAAGGTATAGCCAATGGCGACTCTTGTTTGGGTATAACTAGAAATTTTTTTTATTTGAAGTTTGAATTAACGGTCAGAGGTTTTGGTGCCTGTTCCTTAGAAGAAGATACTTTTATTGTCAGATACATGTTGTGAAATTTGTTCTCTGCAATTTAACCCTCAAGGGAGCATTGGGCAGCCGCTGTGCAACCCCAGGGACCAACTCCAGGTTTTTATCAGTGCCTGGTCAATTGCACTGACTGAAGAACTAACATGTTATTGACGGTGGGGGGAAACCGGAGCACACCCACACAGACATGGGGAGAACATGCAAACTCCAAATCGAAAGGCGGGGACGATCGGGGTTTGAACTCCGCGACCTTCTTGCTGTGAGGCCAAAGTGCTATCCACTGGACCACCGTGTCTTTAGGATTGTTCTCTGTGAAGGGGCCTCAAGTAGGCTTTCCAAATCCCGTCTTTGGGCCACGCCTCCTCATTTGCAATCAAAAATCCTAATTACCCAATCCGAAATCTAAAATGTCATATCCTAAATGACGTATCCTAAATCCTTAATCCCAAATGCCCAGTCTTAAATACCAAATTGGATAATTCTTTTCATTTTTGATTTGGACCAAAAAAAATCCTCCATACATTTCCACCACTAGTTGTAATAAGTACTCCTGATATCATATGACTATATTGTTTGAAAATAACTGTACTGTTTGAGAACATAACCTGAAGTGTGAGCAGAATTTTCTTCTGTCATTCTCACTGTCTTACTGAGAAATGCTGGTCCATCTGATATGTGCATAGTGCAAAACTACAAACATCTTAGCTGTGACTTGAGTTAAAACCCATCTTTTCCGTCTGGCTTTTGACCCTTGAGGATGACACTTGGAGGAACTCATTTGTTAGTGTTTTTAACTGTATACATTATATGTATGTGATAACCTGTAAATTGATGTTTGCTTTTAATCTTTGTACAGCATTTTGTTGCTGTTAAAGTGCTCTATAAATAAATTGACTGATTAAACAGCAAATCACTGTAGCTCACAGTTAAGATACATACAACAACCACAGGGCCACTAGAATACATCACCTGTGAAAGGAGTTTCGAACCCTCAAAAACCAGTACAAGAGATCACCGTAATAGAAGAAGCAAGCATTAGCTGACCTACGAAACATCCCAAGGAAAAAGGTAATAACCCTCTGCAGAGCAGAGTGGCACAAGAGATGGGGAGAAGACAGGGCCAGGAAGAGAGCAGCTTTCATTGCCAATCCCATTGGCTATACAAAGTGGCTACTGAGTATAAGCGCAGTGGCCGTCTCTTGTGTTCAACAGATGAAATCAATCACTTCTTTCATGACACCCTTCATGAGAACACAGGAGCTTGAACCCAACAGAGCTCTAATCAGGTTCTGGTTGGATCTGGCCTACTGTTCCAGACCACACAGTCTGGTTGAGCCTGCACTACACAGCCACCATGTTTCCAGCAAAATCAAGGACCTGTTCATGAACTGTTACAACCAGTTCAGGCTGAGGGTCACTAATGGGTCATGCTTTGCAGGATGCTCAATCTGCTTTGGATCAAGAGAGCTGATCATAGCTAATCTGAGATCTGTTTCAATTTGCCAATTACCTGAAGTGTGTATTTGAAGTGTATATTTGTGTACTTTGGTTTAGTGTTCTGCCACTTTAAAATAGGCGTGTGGTCGTCCTTAAGGGAATGACACACATTATGTTCTTTCCAATTTAACTTACCAATTGTCAATTTACATATTGATTTAGGCTATGATGCTAGCTAAATTAACCAACTACTAAGCTCTGTGTGTATGGTAACAAGGTTTTTTTTTATATCTAGTGTCATCGTTGCCGAGGATGAATATCCAGTAATCACACTTTGTCTATTATCAGGTCCATATTTATGCTGCAATCAACATTGTTAGTTATATACTTTTGCCCCAGTTTAACTTACCTGTGTAAGCATGTCATCATTGCCGAGGATGAATGTTCAAGAACAGTGAAGTAACCGCACTGTTTGTCTATTATTGGAATAAAACGACTCAACTGGGAATACTAGCCTGTGGTGCTTGTTCATAACACAACGCAAAGGATTTCTTGTTACACCAGGATGAGGGTCTCTAATATTGAAAGACCTGAAACACCCAAGGACACCTGGTTACATCACCAATGATGCATTCCAGCGCATCCAGAAGAGGGACTGCTTGTAAAACAATTTAGTCCATGTGTCTTTGAAACCCTAACCAATGCATAAAAAGACAGAGCGCAAAAGGTATTTATTTGGGGTGTGGGTTTTTTCTGCAACAATTTATGGTGGAAATCACAAATCAGGTGTCAGGTAGGGTTGGGGGCTATAGTGTCTTATAAAGGCATTGTGTTCACACATAGACTTCACTTGGTAAAAAAACAACAAAAAAAAACTACTTGGTTTTACATTACAAGGACACGGTGGATATTTTACAAGCACAGACCAGGTAAAGCAGCAGTGAACACAGGAGTGCAGATGTTGGTTTCGGTTACTTGATACATTTTTCATAAAGTGAATAAACCAATTGTGAAAGTGTGCTGCCAATCTTAACATCTTGAGACAGCTAGACACAAATAATTATACCTTAGTGAGAAAATGGGATGCCGACATGAAAATAAATACTATGGTAAATTTATAAAAGTTAAAAATGATGTAAAGTCAGTTTTAAAGTTATAAGGTTGTGAGACTATAAATGTTGAATTCAATGTTAATATTTCTGAAAGGCATTTGGACAGCTGAATGTTGTTTTCAGGATAATGTGGGTCATTTTAGTTTCGAGCAAATTGCAGCAATGTCTCAAAACCAGTGTCACATAGTTTTTCCAGAGACACAGTTTCCATTACAGCAACAACACCCTTATAATCAAATATAGCACAAGGATAAAGACCTTTGATATTTGAGTGGGACTTATTATAGGTCTTATCTCAGCCTAGTTCGCAAATGTTCTTGTCCTTTTAAGGTAAGGTGTAATACCACTTGAACTTTTAGAAAAGGGCCTTACGTAAAAATTAATTTGAGGAATATGAGATGTGCCAACGCCTTTTGGTTGTTTCTCCAAAATTAAGTTCCATTCCTGACTGTGAACATGTTTAATGGAAACAGTAAGTGGAGACAGCCTCTCATTATAAAATCCTTCTCAAGTAAGTCAGAATTTCAATTTGAGTAAGTTTTTTTTATTGGTGCAAATTAGTGTTTCAAAAATCTGCATATGCATTGCACAGCATCTATTTTGGGACAACATTTGAACATAATCATACTTTTATGAGCAGAAATAAAGTCCAATAGTCTATAAAACATTGTGTGATATTACTAATATTATGTGGCATACTCTTCTAAATGAACTCTGTTCTCTTTCCAGACTTACTCTGGCCTGGTTGTGTGTTGTTGTGAACCCCTACAAGTGGCCTCCTGTGAATGATGCTCAGGATGCATTATTCAGTTATTTAGACAGTGACATGGCTCAAGATGTGTCTCTCTTCCCTCAGTGGAGAATCCGGTGCAGGAAAGACTGTCAACATCAAGCGTTTATTCCAGTACTTTGCAACAATTGCAGTGGCTAGAGTTAAGAAGGCTGAGTCAACACAAGCAAAATATAGGTAAAATGGTTTCCTTATGAAACAATGGTCAGAAAATTGTCTGCTTATGGATTCTTTACATCTATTTAAAAAGAATTGTAGTGTTTGCTGGAAGATCGAATCATTGCAGCCAACCCTCTGCTGGAGCCTTATGGGAATGCTAAGACTGAGAGGAATGACAACTCGTATCGTTTTGTGTTAAAAGGCAAGAAAAAAAAAAAAAAAGAAAAAAAAAAGGATTAGCGGCAGCTACACCAAAGCCTCAGTCACCTCTGGTTTTGGGTACATGCAGGAGGGCGACTTGATAGATCTCAGCACTCTAGCTGAAGTGTGAACACGCAAAAGAAGTGGAGCCAATCTATTAAAGCATTTAAAAGATAAAAGTAAGATTTTAAAAAAAATTAACCCTGTACATGAAGCCAGTGGAGGGAGCGCAACACAGGTGTGATGTGGTCCCTTTTTATTTCCTGTCAGGTGGCAAGCAGCGGCATTTTGGACCAGTGGCGGATATCTGTTCATCAAATTTAAACGCACTGTCAAATAAGACACCAAGACTCTTCACAGTCAAGCAATTATTTGAAGCTGAGCCCATTCTGCATATTCAGCTAGAGCTAAACCAGATCAAAGCTAAGGTTGACCAGAAGCTGGCAGCGAAGGATGAGGAGATGGAGCAAAAAAGCCAGAGGGTGAATGATTCAATGCAGAGCACTTTCAATATCATAAGTTAGACTGAGTGCAGTGGCAGGGAGCTAAGGTATGGACCCAAATGCAGACAGATGCGAGGAGACTGCCGTCCAAATAGTTAGTAAATCAAAACTTACTGGAGCAGTCTTCCAAAAGCACAAGCCAACAGTCCAAACAAAAGAGTAATCCAAAGGGAACACAAATCCAAAAATGAAAGAAAACCAAAAACCAGAACTGAGATCCAAACAGAAGCAAGGTTGATCCAGGAGTGTAGGTACAGGACAATGCAGAAACATAACTGAACACCGAAAGACAAACTAAACATGACAGGAAACAAGCACACAAGACTAAACACAGTCAAATAATAAATCACCAAACAGAGAACACACATCAACACAAGGTAGACAGAAAACTAAATCTTACAAATTAACTACAATCAAACCAGAAACAGACTAACACTATAATAAACAGAACACAGAGCAGACAAGATCTATATAATACAAACATTGAACAAGGAATAGCAAGTTATGAACTAAGACAGAAAACAAAGGTCAGGAGCAGGAATGATGCCCCAAGAGTCAAGAAGAAGATGGAAGGAGACAGCTGAAGGTGATGTTTATATGATCATTTATATAAAAAAAAAAAAAAGTAAATAGTACAGAAGGATATTTGTTTTATCTGTTTTGTTTTTTGTCAGGATGCTCATATGCACCTTGATGATGCTGTCAGAGGACAGGAAGACATGAAGGAGCAGGTTGCCATGGTGGAGTGCAGAAATGGCCTGATGGTGGCTGAGATTGAGGAGCTGAGAGCCGCTCTGGAGCAGACAGAGAGAGGACGCAAAGTGGCTGAGCAGGAGCTGGTTGATGCTAGTGAGCGTGTTGGACTGCTTCACTCTCAGGTGTGTTTTTATTAATTCACAAGAAATGTATCCCATCAAACATATGAGCCATATACCTGTAAAACACTCTCTTATCTTGGTCAATATTTAGAACACCAGTCTTCTGAACACCAAGAACAAACTGGAGGCTGACCTTGTTCAAGGCTCAGTGTGAAGTGGATGAGTCTGTTCAGGAAGCAAGAAATGCTGAGGAGAAAGCCAAAAAGGTTATCACTGATGTGAGTTTATGTTAATGATTCTTCTTTTATATCTAAAATGCTATACATCGCCAAATACTTGCTCACATTTGACCATTAATGCCAACTTTTTCCCAAACTGCCCCTCATTTCAGGCTGCCATGATGGCTGAGGAGCTGAAGAAGGAGCAGGACACCAGCTCTCTGTCACGATCCTGTCCTGAGCTTGTCTGGGTTATATTATTTTGGTCATGCCTTGATTGATTTTGGTTTCTCTGTGTCTAGGTTTTGAGTTTCAGTCCTGTCTGTCTGTGGTCTTGTACCCAGTCTTCTGCTTGTTCTGTGTGGTGGTTCTGGTCTGATCTGTCCTGTTATCTAGGTGTCTGCCTTAGTACTTGTTTAGTTCTGTTCCTGTCTCTCGTGTTAATTCTGTACCATTGTGCTTGGGTTCTGTCTGTTTGCTAGGTGTTAATTTATGTTCTCTGCCAGTTTCATTTATTAATCTGATTCTGACCATTTTGCTGTGTAGCCTTTATTATTTTATTCATCCGAATCTTTAAGTTACTTCATATCTGTCTTGTCTCGTACCTTAGTTCCTAGTTCTGTGTCTTAGTTCTTAGTCCTCTACCTTAGTTCCTGTACCTTAGTTCCTGTACCTTAGTTCATGTCTTAACTGTTTACTCCTGTTCTGTGTACTTTTGTGTTGTTTTGCCCATGTTGAACCGTGAGTTCTGGTTAAATCTTAGCTTCTGTGTTCCTTGTTATTAGTGTATTCGTGATCTGTCTGCTTGTGTCTGGATTAGTTTGTTGTTTTTATTATTCTGATCTGTTACTACTTACTTATGGTCCATGTTTAGTGTTCCCCTTCAGTAATCTGCCTGCCTGCCAGTCTCTGTTTTCCCTGCTGTCTCTCTGCCTGCCTGTCTCGTTAGCCATGATCCCTGTCACCTGTGTTGCTCACGCCCTGGTCGTTAGTCCCTGGTGTATATATGTTTAGTGTTTCTCTTCAGTCCCTGTCTGGTCATTGCAGTGTTTTGTAGTGTGTTTCGCGCTGTCTGGTGTTGTCTAATGTTGAGTGTTCTGTTGTGCCTTGTTCTCTGTGTTCTTGGATTACCTTGTTACTTTCCCTTTTTGGATTTCTACTTTGTTTGGACTCATGTCTTGCGCCCTCAAGTAAGCTTGTTTCAATTTAGTTTATGTACTAATACCTTGTAACTGCAACCGCCTCGCCTGTTGTCTGCGTTTGGGCCCACACCTAAGTCTGCACTCAGCCATCCTAACACTCTCACCTGGAGAGGATGAAGAACCTGGAGGTCACGGTCAAGGACCTGCAGCATCACCTGGATGAGGCTGAGAACCTTGCCATGAAGGGTGGCAAGAAGCAGCTCCAGAAACTGGAGTCCAGGGTATGACCTGTGTATATTCTATGAGTTTTAGGAGGTAAATTGCCCTTTCAATGAGTAGAAAAAAATCAATCTTTCTCAATACTAAAACCTTGGATTAATTATTGATCAATACTGTATGTTACAGGTACGTGAGCTGGAAGCTGAAGTTGAGGCTGAACAGAGACGTGGAGCAGATTCTGTTAAAGGAGTCTGCAAATATGAGAGGAGAGAGAAGGCGCTGACCTACCAGGTAATTCCTTATTTAATTAAAAACCTATGCGAGTTCTTAATGTCTTGACTTTGTTTCTACACTTCATTGGTAACATTCATTTATCTGTGTAGACTGAGGAGGACAAGAATGTGACCAGACTTCAGGATCTGGTGGACAAGTTGCAGCTCAAAGTGAAGATTTACAAGAGACAGGCTGAGGAAGCCGTGAGTCAAATGTGTTGTGATCTTTCATCTGGGAATAAATAGTGACATAAATAAACCATACTAATATGATGCAATGGTTACAAAATATACTGTAACTGTAAACCCTTCACAGTTCAATTCATGACCTAAATGCACTCTCTATAGATTTCTTTATTTACTTTGCATAGATAATGTAGATATATAATATGCTAAATGCCACATAACATTAACTTGCATAAGCACATAAGTTAGGTAACTAATTTTTATGGAAGTACATGCTGAACAATCAAATTTTTCTTGCCTTTTTTCCAGTCTGACTCTGCTGAATAAGACAACAACCTGGTGACAGACAGGCTTAATCTTATTTCAAAAGGTGTCCTCGTTAAACTATGTTATTTACTCTGTATTTTACTGGTATCTATAAAAGTCATGTAGTGTTCAACACAACAAGGGCAGCAACAGCCAAGTTAACTGATGCAGTTAGTCAAGGCTGCATCAGTTAACTTGGCTGGAATGAGCATGGTCATTTTAATTACAAATGTTTCTCATGTTAGTTATACAGTCAAACAGAAGGATAATAAAAGCTGTCAACACTTCACTAAACCATTAAATGTTCATGGCTCTAATGAATTTTTGTCATTGGATAGCATCGCATACAACAGAACATAACTGCACATATTTGCATTAGAATATATTTGCTTGAAATTAAGTTTGTAGTTTAGATGGAGCAGCGCATAGTATGTCTATTTCTGGATGGATTTTGAAAAGCCATTCTCAATTATGTCATAAATTCATAGTGTATCAATGACATTTAAAAAATGATACTGTACAATAGTTCACCATTTAAGCTCTGTGTGTGACCCCAGTATATTCTTCTATACACTGCAGATAAAGCTAAATTGTCCAAACAGACTTATCACTTACCCCATATCAATGTAGCACCAACAGTTCAAATAAAGCAGTACATGTGTTTTAATTCAAAATTAAAAAATATGACAGACTGAATTTCATTAAAGTTTGAATGATAAATCCAAAAACGAATGCCACTCTAAGACAGTCTTTGCAAAATTCTCTTGGAATTACTTGGAACTTGTATCTTGTAACTAGCTGTATCAAACAGTTTTTTTTTGTTTGTTTTTTTTCTCGACTGATTAAACACATTTCTTGAAATTTAGCCTCAAACTCTAAAAAGAATCTGTAACTTCTCACCCAATACCCCAATCTAACTATTTTCGGTTCAAAGGCGAGCTCTCCACTCAAAACCATTCAATTTTTGCCCTCAGAAACAAAGACACACTCACTCACACTCACTCACACTCACTCACACTCACTCTCACTCACACTCACTCACACTCACTCACACTCACTCACACTCACTCACACTCACTCACACTCACTCACACTCACTCACACTCACTCACACTCACACTCACACTCACTCACACTCACACACACTCACACACACTCACACACACTCACACTCACACACTCTCTTACAGACTGGTGAGAGAAACTCAAAACAATACAACAAACGGTTTTGAGTAATGTTTCTTATGGTTCTTCCCCTGAAACCTTTTCACATGATAAACACAACAAAGAACAGAACATGTTATATTTTTCATTTACTTTTGTAACATTGAAAGTCTGCCTTCACCATTGGATGCACGCCCACTCCCGAGGCAGGGACAATTACCTTGGCACGACAGTCAGTAGCAGTGTAACGTCCTAAAGGATCGGACTAGTTGAGACACATTTGTTCCACCTTTTGCATCAGCACCATATTGTCGTTGCCATGATTATTGTAGACTTTTCGTTCATAGGGGGGTCAAGGTCTGTGTTAGAGTGGCACTGGCCCCTGTTGGCTCCTCCCCAAAACTGCCACAGTCCAAATGAGGGCATCTGGTTTATCGGGTAGAGGATCATTGGGAGGTTAATGTGATGCTTAATGATGTTTTCCAGGGGGTCATGTCTTATTGTTTTACAATATGTACCTTGCTGCACCAGGGTATGATTGTCCTTACGATAGATTTAGATTGAGGGTTCTCCAGAGACGGCATGAAAGACGTGTACCAATGGTGAGATAGTGCTGACCCTGAGATTAGGACAAAAGCCGCTTGTGCTGAAACACTGCAGCTCACTTGGATGATACTCTGATGCGTGTGTCCCAATGAGTTCCTTCTGCAGAAGACTTGAATAAAATTCACGCAATGACATGTTTGCTTAAGCTGTTTATTTGAAAATTCAAATTGCTATCTCATTTAACATTTTCTGTTCAGTTTTCTTGTTTTATTACTATTTTGACAGTTAACCTGTTGAAAACAGACTTCGCCAATACCAGGGTCAACTGTGCTGTGGGTGAAATTTCTGGTTGTATGGAGTGTTTTAGATATCTACCAATAAAACATTTTAACTGTAAATATTGCCAAAATATGGACATTAGCCTGGCGTATTTTGAAAATGCTGTATAACAGTTTCTGTTTATCATTCTAGGTGTATTAGAAGATATTCAGTTGCATTATAAGCTTCCTTACAATGGTTTTGATTCGTTATTGCATTAAAATATTGCTTTTTTTGTTACCAGGTATGGATGAAAATATCAGATTTTCTTTATTGCATCTCCATGTAGTCTATAATAGTTAAATAAATATTAATATATAGAATGGATTCTCCACGGCGTCTCCAGACTCTGTCACGTCTGTCACATGTGCTCAGTGTGAACCTGCTTTCATCTGTGAAGAACACAAGGCGCCAGTGGCGAATTTGCCAATCTTGGTGTTCTCTGGCAAATGCCAAATGTCCTGCACGGTGGACATTGTGTGCTGCATTGTTGTAGCATGTTAGGATTTGTCTTGTTCATGCCTTCGATGTCCCATTTCCTCTGCCAGTTGTGTGTTTAAACCCATCTCTGCCTGGATTGATATCTATTTCATATTTTGAACTTGGACTTTACTTTGCCTTTTGCATTTCCGCTTTCTTTTGAGGAACATTTCCACAGTGAGTTTGAACAGATTATGTTTAAAATAAACCTTTAAAACTTATCCTACCAGTTCGAGTGTCTGCTTCTGGGTCCAAAACCTGTTTGTTTTGCCAGAGTACATGGCACATCCTGACATCAAGATACTTTTGAATCACTGGAGCGGCTATGAAAATGATCTTCACAGTGGTGTAGATACTAATTACTGACTAATCGAAAAGCTTATGGAGCCGTGAAAGTAAAAAAAAAAAAGTTAAAATTCACATGGTCTGACTGTTAACTACTGTAAGCACTAGACAGTAGAAAAAATTTTGTGTTTTCTTCAATGATCATCTCAATCTTTGTTAAATAGCACGCTTAGAAAATAACAGATCTTTGCCACTTATTTGGGAAACTGCGGTACATGTTGCAACGCAACATCTATAATATTCAGATACAAACACTACCAAAATCATTATTTAATCTTTATCACAATTAAATATTCAAGTAGTTCAAACTCCTCATCTTTCCAATCCTGAATAAAGTTTACAGCCTTCTTTTCTAAAGCTGCTATTCTACATGAAGTTCAGATTTAAATTTTATATATCAGATATCAGTCAGCTTTATTTAAAGTGTAAAGTTGGATAAAAAAAGTTGAATATAAGAAACACATAAGATACACACACATCGACTGTATAAAAGAAGTGGACATGGTCATCGTGACATCACCCATTGGCTTTTGGACTGCCGTTTTAAAGACTGGCCGTTAGGCCGCCATGATGTTTTTTTAACAACCAGCGGCACAGGATGTGCCCATATTTGGATGAGACTGTGGAGCTAATGGCTGTGTGTGGAGCTAGTTAGCTAGGTGCATCTGTAATTCACGTTAACTGTCATTTTAAAGGTTCAATGTGTATTCAAAATTTAGTTGGAGGTCCCTCTGACTGTCGGGCAATGTCACTATATATGACAGAAACATCTCTTGTTTTAAAATAAGATCCAATGACTCTTTCCTATGTTTATAAATCTGCCATGTTTGTTTAGCACAAACACGCAAATTTCTTAAACCTACTTGGCAATAAAGCTGATTCTGATAAAACAATAACTATATATTATTATATCTACTATGTTTGAAGTCAGACAGGAAAAATATGATGTGGAGCTAATTAGCAGAGTTTCAGCAGCAGGACCACACATCAACCATGTCATCGCCAGCATTTCCATAAATACCCACACGTCCTGACTCCTCTTCTTCACTCTCACAGTCGTCTGAAGCTCACAGTCGCTCCAAGCTACGTTGTTTCAAACGAACTTTCGGCTCACAATCATTTCATGCCATCATCCGGCAAACAGTCGTTCGAGCTCACACTCGGCTCGAACATTCAGCTAACCGTCATCTAAAGCCAAAAGCATTTTCTAGCTAAGGCGTTCCGAGTCATCTTTACCTGAATCGGTATAATCATTTCAAGCAAACAGTAGTTTGTAGTTAAGTCATCTTCAAGGTAAGTCGTTTTCAAGGTAAGTCGTTCACACTAAAGTCGTTTTGAGGGAACAATTAGAAGGGGCTTCCGGCACCAGGATGCCAAAGCCTACCGCTGCTTGCTCCCAGTCCACGGTTTGGGGATTCTATAAGGACCGATGGTTCACAGCGGAATGGTTGCCAAAACCTTAACATTAACAGCACCGCGTTCTACTAAAGAAACCATATAATTAGGCCTGCTTACACCCGTCTTTTCCAGAGTCCAGTGACCCTGAACCCTTGCAAGTCCCTCAGGAACCATTGCAACTCTGGGATCCCAGAGTACAACACGCCAGATCGTCTCCGAGTCGGTTCCAGTGGCCTCTTGATTACCGGTGCCACCGCCACTCTCGCCAAGCACTCTCTCATCATGCTTTCTCCCATCCATTACCTCAATCACTCCTTCAGTATCAAAGCTACCCTTTCAGCCTCCGACGTCATTCCCGAGCACCCGATACATATCATGCGTCGCTGATCCTCCCAAACATACCATCAACACACATTCAGATCTCAAAGACCTCAGATCAGCCAATGCTCTCACATAACTAGAAGCTTTTGGGGGTCCGTCGTGCCCGGGTGGTACTGCGGATTTCCCTATCGTAGCTTCCCCACAACACCTCAAATGTCTTTTCAGCAACTGCAAGCCTCGTACATCTTTCTGTTTCGATCATCAATAAATCACTTAATCGTTCCTGTTTGTGTGGTGCTTGCTAGTGAAGTGGTGCTAATTAGCGGAGTTTCAGGAGCGGGACCACACATCAACAACATCATCGCCAGCATTTCCATATATACCCAAATGTCCTGACTCCTCTTCTTTGCTCTTGTATCCTGCATCCCTCCCCCCCACCCCTTTCTCTGTCCTGCCTCCTGATCTCCTCCTTCCTCTCCATAGGGTTATAAGGGGGCCCGTCGTGCCTGGGTGCTACGGCGGATTTCCCTATCGTAGCATCTCCACAACGCCTCGAATGTCTATTCAGTAACTGCAAGCCTCGTACATCTTTCTGTTTCGATCATCAAAAAATCACTTAATCGTACCTGTTGATTGTGTGGTCCTTGCTAGTGAAACCACCAGTGCTACTGAGCTTAATGGCAGTTCAAGAGCCAGTAGACACTGATGAACTTAGTGCTGAGTAAAAAGACTGATACATTGATTA